TTGAATATATAGTGTTGTCATGATCGTTTCATTCCTACAAAATGGGGAAATACCTATATGATGAACGTTAAAAGTGTTCAGCATTTATAATACACTCTTGCATGTTTACAAATATGTCAATCTAAATAGGGCTCCTATTTTGAAGTATTTACAATGAATGTTTTTCCGATTTCTTTAGTTAAGTCTTAATATTTTTGGTAGTAACTGAATTTACTTATACGGCCACCCAGATTTAAAAAAAACTTGGTACAAATAATCTGCGGAAGTATTTATGAACGTCATTTCAAACGTCACATATCTTTGACATTGACATTTCGGTCCATCTCGACCTCCATTCATCCTTCATACTAGTACATCGAAGATTTTAACTCCATTTTCAACGAAACTAACTGTAAAACGCTCTTTATAGAGCTTCAGAAGCAATTAAACTAGGTGTATATTAAATCTACAAAACTTCAAGGTGAAAATGGCGTTGAAATCTACACCGGTGCTGTTCGGTTTATTAACTCGCTTGTCTCGTCGTACCTTTTCAACTTCAAATGCCTTGGCTTCGAAGCCAGTGACTGTTCGTGATGCCCTGAATCAAGCCTTGGACGAGGAAATGACACGGGATGAAACAGTGTTCCTTTTAGGTGAAGAAGTCGCACAATATGACGGTGCCTACAAAGTTAGCAGGTAATTTTGTCAATATAGTTATTTACTAATAGTTTTTAATTAAATTCAGAAACTGGAAGCGACTATATTTACGTTACTAACTTAATTATTTGACTTGTGTTATTTTTTTCCAATTAGCAACTATTACATAACCAAAAAATTGTTGACAGTTCTTAGTTTTCTTAACCTCAAAATCTATGCAAATTATTTTATTAATCTACCGAGTTAATTATGAAGTTATTAAAAAGTAAATTGAAAACCAAATATGTTTGTCAACAAATGTGCTAGATTGATCAAAATATTTATATTGTTATCTGTGAGAAATAGATAAAATTTATAGATTTACTGTTATTGAACACCATAGCAATATACTGAGCACAAATATAGTAAGATCACAAATAATGAACTATTTATCAAATACTAGATGTTCCCATGCAGCTTCATCTCGTCACATGCAAAATTAATTGTATACATTGTATAAAATGTTTATTGCAATATTACAAATGCTCAAATTACAATAAAGACCCTTGTCATTGGCTGAGAATTTAAGTAACCATGGCAACTTTGATTCATTGCTGCTGTTGGCTTGCACTTTTGTCACTTTCTTGCATGATGGTTTTTCCAATTTCAAATTCATTCCCTAAATCAAATAGTGTGAAAAAGATAATAAGTCAAGAATATGCAGTGATTGCTGACACCTACATAGTAAATAAGTGTGTATATCCCTTATGGTAATACTAAACAAGTATATGTAGATAAAAATCAAGTCATCTCAAGTATACACAGTTGATGTAAATTTATGCAGATGTCATATCAACATTATTTGTTTAAGAGATAACTTTTATTACATATGATAATTCTAAAGCCTACAATATTTAATTTTGAGGTAAAAGTTCTCTAACAATCAACTAAAATCACTTGACTCAAAAATTACTGGGCAGTTTTTATATTTGAAAAAATGTTGAACCAAATTGTAGGTATTCTGAATATACCAAAAGAGAATTACATCAATTTGATTATAATTTGCAGTGTAACAATGTATACATATAATTTTCTATCATGTAATTTCTATTATGTAAAAGCTGTGATGTTTATAATTCGGAAAATATTGACTTTCAGAGGGCTATGGAAGAAATATGGAGACAAGCGTGTAATTGACACACCAATTACAGAGGCAGGCTTTGCGGGTATTGCGGTTGGTGCTGCATTCGCTGGACTCAGGCCTGTCTGTGAATTCATGACTTTCAACTTTTCCATGCAAGCAATCGATCATGTAAGTTATATTGACAAACTGAAATTTGTCCTTAAAATTCACTTTAATAAGTAGAAATTCTTGGAGCAATAAATGTGTTTTAATAGAATTACAATAGATTTGACTCCAGGCACATTCCAAGTAACAAGTTTGGATGGCTATTTAAAAAAGTTAATTCACCCAACTGCAGTGAGTGTGGGGTAATTGAAGATGTTCAGCATGTATTGGAGTGTGTTCGGAACACGCGTTTTAGACTCAATTATTTTAAGGGTCACGGATGTAATGTCGGTCACTTAAACACTCTCCTGGCTTAACCTCTACAGACGAGGACGGGATGGTGTTTAAGTTGGCCGACATCTGTTTAAGAAAACAGTTAGTTAACTAAGCTTTGTTTGTTTAAGACTTATGTGGCGTTATCCACAAAGCCCCTTGTAAATATAAATAAATAGTAAAAACCAGATTTCACTAAGTAGTTCTTACTTTTATAAAATTGGAGAAATAAACATAAAAACATTTACAAAAACTTCTACATTAGCATGTTGTTAAGTTAATTTATTTGTGGCAATAATTCACAGACTTGATTATTAGTATTTTCTAAGACTCTAACCAACAGACAATATTTCAATCTTTTCAATTATCTATAGAAATATTAAGAGGACATATTTGTATTTCATTATTTAGTAAATGAAAGTGACTTGGTTGACTTCAAAAAAATCTTTCATAATTAGAAAGTTATGTTATCACAGAGTAATAGGTTATGTATATTACTAGACTTTTTAAGTCATAGCCAAAGTTAGGTATCCATCTGAATTTTCATATTAAAATATTAATAATGTAAATTCTTAGCCCATTAGTCTCCGCTTGGTTGTGTATTGTAGGTGATAAACTCAGCGGCGAAGACATTCTACATGTCTGCGGGCGCGGTGCCGGTGCCGGTGGTGTTCCGCGGGCCCAACGGCGCGGCGGCGGGCGTGGCGGCGCAGCACTCGCAGTGCTTCGGCGCCTGGTACAGCCACTGCCCCGGCCTCAAGGTCCTCATGCCCTACTCCTCGGAGGATGCTAAAGGTACACCTCTTGTTCTATTTCTAGATATTGATGATAGATGCATGAAAACTATGGTACAGTCCTTACCGAAGAGTTCTAATGTATACATTTAATGGTCACTTACATAGAAATATATAAATCTTACTTCTTACTAATATTATAAACGGCAGAGTTTGGATGGATAAGTTGTTGGATGTTTGTTAGAGTTTGGAGCCTAAACTGCTCAATCTTAATATTTGTCATAGATGTGGAACATAGTCTTAACATACCAAGAACACATGGGCTATTTATTAAGTTTATTTTTTTAATTTCACGCGAACGGAGTCGCAGGCGGAAGCTAGTATAATTAGGATCGGTCAACACTTTTCTATTAAGTGTTATGTTTCTTATCCCGAATTCATATTCTCTTCATCTGTTCATTTGAAGGTCTGCTGAAGGCTGCGATCAGAGACCCGGACCCGGTGGTGTTCCTGGAGGACGAGATCCTGTACGGCGTGCCCTTCCCCATGAGTGACGAGGCGCTGGCGGACGACTTCGTGCTGCCCATCGGCAAGGCCAAGCTGGAGCGCGCGGGGCGGCACCTCACGCTGGTGTGCGCCGGCCGCGCCACCGACACCGCGCTGCAGGCTGCCACCCAGCTCGCCGGAGAAGGTAACATCAATCTGCCCTTGGCCAAACGGGGTCGGCACGGATTGTTCTGTTCCATACATCTCTATCATCACTCAATTTCACTACTTTTGGCACTACTTCCAAAGCTCCGTATATATTATATTATCCTTTGCAAAAAAACTGCGAGTACTTTTGTTTGAAAATCTGTAAAATTTAAATCTGTAGTAAAGAGCTGGAATAGTTCGTTAAAAGAGTGGGAACTCTGACAAGCAAATTAATTTACAATGTTCAACAATAGATGGCGCTTTTATCAAGTAACTTTATGTTAAGTTTGTTTTACATTTTAATGTTAGCTTTTTATTGGGTAAAGTAATAAATTAGCAAGAGTATACCGGGAATTCGCTAAAATAGCGAAATAATCGTTGACCATAAACATATGTATTTAAAAATGTTGTCTTTTATCAACAAAAGTAGGGATGTACAAATAGAAGATTTAACCTCTCCGCTAAATACACTTTGTTTTAGTATATCAAAAAGGGACTTTTTAGATAGGAAAGGGTGAATTATTGTATTGTATCGTGTGTGAGGTGTCGAGTGCGAGGTGCTGAACCTGCGCTCGCTGCGGCCGCTGGACTTCGACAGCATCGCGCAGTCGCTCGCCAAGACGCACCACCTCGTCACCGTGGAGCAGGGCTGGCCGCAGTCCGGTACTACACCTTGTTCATTATTCTCACACTACCTAGTAAACACTCCCAATTTCATAGCAAATTACAATATTCAAATGTTCAAATGACAACCCAGACCTTTGCCCTTGAATATTTAATTAAACAACCTCGATTATAGCTGGTAATAGCTTGTAATTCTCCATCTCACAGAGCATTTTTTTCCAATTTACCAAGTTTAATTTTATGACCTAAAATGTAATTTTATGAAATGATTCTTTTGTTCGAATCTCATAAACCAATGTGATTTCTGATTTTCATTTCTATATTTACTTGACGTTTTCACGGTAAAAGAAAACGTTATAACTGCAAATCAAACCGAATCATCACCAATATTATCAACGAATTCAAAGATATGCTAAAAGAAGGCATTGTTGACACTTGAAACATTGTTTACAATAATTTATTTAAATGAATTGCCAATAGATGTCGTTAAATGTTATTTTGTACACCGATTAGTTTATTTTACTAGCAAAAGATGGCGCTTATTATAATTTTGTAAAACGTTTTTTTTTACATGGACACGAGATGCACTAAACTTTATGTACATTTCAAAGAAAGTACCGTTCACTAAGTCGTTCTATCTATACTAACGTTATACAGTTTAAAGATTTATATTTTAAAAACAGTTTAACTCAAAAACTACTAGACCGATTCCAAATTTTTTTGCACTATTAAAAAGCTATGTTAATAGACATAGGCTATATTTTTACTATTATTTTTTATGTGACAGGCGAAGTCGCAACAGCTATGTTATATGTCTCTATGTATTCTTTATGTAATTTTAAATCAACATCTACAGACGCTTGGCTCGTTTTTTTTGCATGGTTTGTATTCTTTTTTCGATTATTTTATTGCAATGTTGTCAGGTATCGGCGCGGAGATCTGCGCGCGCGTGATGGAGTCGCCGGCGTTCTTCGAGCTGGACGCGCCGGCGTGGCGCGTGTCGGGCGCCGACGTGCCCATGCCGTACGCGCGCTCGCTGGAGGCGCTGGCGCTGCCCACCCCCGCCGACGTGGTCGCGGCGGCGCGCGCCGTGCTCGCCAACAGGTACACCTACACCTACACCTACACCACGAACTATCATACTAATATTATAAATGCGAAAGTTTAGATGGATGGATGTTTGTAAGAGGTTGTAGCCTAAACGGCTTAACGGATCTCGATGAAATTTGGCATAGATAGGTAATAGATATATATAGTCGAGACACATAGGCTACGTCCATTTGTTTTTTTTTAGTTTCGTGCGGACGGAATCGCGAGCGAAAGCTATTATAAAAAGGAATTATCCTTCGACCCCGTCTTTACTTAGGTGGAAGCCTAAGGTGGGTCGAAGTCGGGGTCGTGGTCATGTGCTGGTTTATTAAAAAAAGGAAAGATTTGTATTTTTGTATGTATTGTAACTCAATAACTATTGGCCGATTTTAAATTCTTTCACAGATAAAAACTAAGTTATCGGTATTAGGCTATGATTTTTATGATTTCTTTCACGCGAGCGAAGTCGCAACAGCAATGTAATAAAGAAAAGAATTGCCTTGTCCCAAATGTTACAAATAACTAATTAGGTAGCATAGCAGTGAATTGAGTAAAAAGAAATTGATCTTGTATCACTAAACGACATTTTTTAGGTAGTTTAATTTTAATAAATTACATTTGTTGCAGGATAACTCAGGGTGCTCAGCAGTGAACTAGTGAATTGTTAGTGAGATAGCGCGGGGTACTTCATTATTTGTAAATATTTATTTTATCCTGTATAATTTATTCCCGGTCGTCGGCCGCCATTGCAGAATCAAATCAATGTATATGTAAATGAAAGCATTTTGTTGAAATAAATCTATTAGGAGTTAACAAGACTTTAATTTTTCCCGAAATAATTAACAACACTGAAAATCACGGTTAGTCCAAAGATGTGACGAAAACAACGCCATCTATGAACTAAATATTGAAATGCTTATTATAATTTCGTAAAATGTTTTATTTCATGTCAATAAGGGCACGAGATGGCGCTAAACTTGACAACTGATTTAGATAATTTTGATCTGCAATAATTTTTAGCTACTATAATATATTAATTTTTAGATTTAGATTTATATTTTTAATTAAAAATCACTATTTACCAAAACGTAAAAAATGCTTTGGCACCCCGTTTGTACAACGTATATTTGTGTTTGACGTTAGATGGCAGCACATGAATGATTTTTAATAAATCAAGTTTTGATATATATTGTTCCTGTCTATGGATAAGTATAGTAGGGTTTTACAACCGTTAAAAAATATGTATAATAATTGCTATTTTTACGTTTTCTATTGCATGCGTGTATATAGCAATTGAAAAATCCAAAAGTAACATCTTTTTGCTATAATTGTTTTTAAATAAAAATTGATACTTAATTTTAGGTTTTTACGCCCCGCCCCTAGAACAATAATAGTTGGCAGATATTATGAAATTTGGCTTGAATCTCCCGTTTTATCTATCTAATCTATTAACCTTACCTTAGAAAAAAAACCTAACGCATCTTAAGTAGGAAATATCCTCTTTATCCCAATACTACATTTGTAGATGAAACGTAAAAGCTTCTGCAAACAATACAAGGTCGCGGTTGGGGGAGGTGATGGATCACTCGCCGCGCCACCTCGCGGACACTCGCCGCTCTATTCTCCAGAGTATTTCTGTATTGTATTGGGTGTGTGTAATGAGGCAAATGTTAGAACAACCGTGCGTATGCTTCAACAGAATATAGATGTACTGCCGGACTCGCTACACTAAGCCTTCTTTTAGTGGTCACTAAGGGCGTTAATGTATGTTTACTATGAAAAAGTGGATCAAGTAGCCGTTAAACACCTATATTATGTAACACGAGAAATTTATTTAAATTATATTAGAAATAAATCGTCGACACAAATTACCTAAAAAGATCTTCACTAAGTAGTTATGCAACAAAATATAACAAATGCCATAAAGCCTTGTCTGCAGTAAAAGTTAGCCGTTTCTACTAAAGGAGACCAACTAACTACCAGCTGAGAGTTTTTCATGCGATCTGGCTCCTGTACAGTAGATATATTTAGCGTAACGAATTCATTGTGTATTATTGCGAGCGGTGCGGGGTGAGTGCGGGCGGGGGATGCTGGCTGCGCAGACATCGCTGATGGATCACCTCGCAGGGAATTACGTGCCGGGGAGGGAAACAAGTAAAGAACGCAATACACTAGAGCGAAACGTAACATGTAATTTCAAAGCAGTTCGTTTATTTGGAGAGTTTACTTGGAGGCAGTCAAAAATTTTCTTATCCTAGTAAATAGTAATAATTATAAACAAAGTTTGCATTAAGATGATTATCAGATTATGTAAAGTTAAAGTTGCAATTTGAATTAAGCAAGAATAAAGATATTTAAGACGATGGTATGTTAATACATTTTTCACTTTATTTAAACGTTAGCAAGATTAGACTGTAAGGTTAAAATGCCATTTATAAAAATTCTGAGCACTCTAGTGTGTTGCGAACCTTTTGGTTCTATTTCATTGAAGATTGACATTTTCGGCAATCGTCGGCTTACAATTTTTTGGGGCCCTCCAAAGTGTCAACGCGACCGCGCCGCGCCGGATTGCCGGAATTAAAATGTACACAATACATACTTTCTGAAAATAGACGAGTACCCGAGAAAATATACAATGTACACAGTAAATAGAATTCTTATAATAATAATTACTCATTACTTTAGCAAAAAAAATATACTGCAATCTTATGATATAAGTAAACTAAAACAAAAATATACTTTAGACTTATTTTGATAGTTTATATTAGTTACTGTTTGTGAGAAGCAAAAGTTAAGTTATCTTGCTTGAATAAGCCTTCGTGCTTTACATTATGAAGTTACAAATTCTTGACTCATGTGTTGGAAACATACGAATAAGTTGGAATCAAACATAAAATATTATTTTTGCAAAGAAAAAAAACAAATAACTATTGAAAAAAATCGATCGATTCGCAAATCTTGTCATGAAAATATCCAATCCCAGGACAATGCCATCAGAGAATATAAAAGATTCAACAATACATTTCTAAGAAATCTATAGGTAGCATTTAAGTGGGAAAGAATAAAAAATGCAATAGAAAAAATCAGCGACGAACTAGCGTGTGATCAATCACTCGCTCAGTGAAAAGTTTCTCTCGACGAACACTTACATCCGTTCCTGACAAACTTGTCCCGAAGTTACACGAAACATCGCATTGAAGCGACACCTTTATTATTTACAAATTGCTTCTAACAAATATCTTATTTCAGTTAATTGTGGCTTATATTAACATCTAAATTGTGTTGTTTTAGAAACTTCAGAAAACTTTAAGTCGATAAAGTAAACTGTTTACGTTTTCGCTAACTCGTTACAAAATTGAGCTAGTGGAAAAGAGGTTTTAAAATCAAGCAAAATGAAAACTAATGCTGTCAAAGAAATGTACATTTAGAGTGAATAACTATTATTGTGGAATAGACATAGGTGTGAAGAAAGGAAGAAAACACCAGTTGCTAGTTTCAAAGTTGGTGATCACCCCTGTTAAAAGATTTAATTAAATTATCCAGCAGTATTGGTATTGGCGGTTGTAAAGCCGCTAGATGTCACCAGTTGCACCCCTCGTTGACTTTAAAGCAGTTTAAACCGGCTTGTGGGAAGGGTGCGGATTTCATAGAGTGCACTTAGGGATGTGACCTACGTTATAACAATTAAATTTAAATAATTCATAATCAAAATCCAATAAATGATTTTGATTGGTAGATAAGTTGCCTTTTCATATTTTTATGTTATTGCAACTAGTTAGTTCATGCCCCTCATATTCAAAGCAACACTTTGAAATATGTTGATATTTTGCGAAAAAAAAAACAAGTGCGATATTACTTTTTGAATCTATTTGTACCTTCGTGTATTCTAAAGTACAATTCACTCTATAAAAAAAAACGTATTTTTAACATTTTTTTATCATTAATAAATTTTTGACAACCCTAACCTGTAGAGGGCGCACTGAGCTCTGACAAATAGCAATTTGAATATGTTCAATCCAAGATACTTTTTATGTAATTACATTTTATACTGGACGTCACATCAGATTTACATTACCAAGGTACTTTCGATGTAAAACAAATTTTATTTTCCCATTGATTTATAAAAAATATAGGCCCTTAAAGTCTTTTGTACTAAGTTTGTTTTATGCCTATTTTACCCATCTTTTAAATGGGTAAACCTTCATACTAATTCTTTCAACATGACACATAACTATTGATTAAAGTGTGTGAGAAGACAAGCATTGGATAATCTAAACATCTGATACTCCAGGCTCGATTTCAAACAAGTTCGTTATAATTAATAAGCATACCTATTTCCGTAAGAAAGTCTTCCTAAATTATGCAACGACTAGATATCAAAAGCGAATACTTGGTCTACCATATGGAAATATGTTTTTTTATAACATAAGGTGACAAACGAGAAAGCGGCTACCTGAATCCGCCAAAACGACGAAGCGACTGTTGCCCATAGACATCCGCAATTGCAGATGCGTTGCCTACCCGTATCCGACGGAGGAGGAGACAATCATGAGGAGGATATTCACTTCTCCTTCCCATCCTCTCCTTATAATAAAAGGATGGAAACGGAAAGGGACTTACATTAGACCTCTGGCACCACACTTATCAGACAAAACACGGAATTTCTTCCATTGCACGCCTGTCTTCTGTGTGATCGTAGTATTAAACCGGGCGTGCCGGCCCTGCAGTGCTAAGATGTTAAAGCGGGCACTACCACTGCAAAAATGTAATCTAATTTTTTAATTCGATAAACATTAGTTCGTTTATACATAGCTACTAAGGTATTGTATTGTTTTTATTTTAAGTCATTTTTATTTAATGAAAACCATTCAATATTTGAAAAACAAAAGAGCATAGACACGCTCTCCGCTTTCCATTGATTAAATACTAAGATAATGACACATTATTTTATACTAGTCCCGTTCTAAGTCGTTTTTAAACTCTTCATTATTATAGACAGCATTGTTATAGACAGGGCAATTCATTGCTAAAGTCATCACTTCTATGACTTATGCTTATTTACGGTCAATTACGTCACATCATTAGTGACGCTTGTTTAATAGTGATTAACCACGCCAGTGCATAACCGATTCACTTTTACCTAGCACTGTCATTTGTTTTGCTATATCCTGTATTGCGTTTCCATTACCGAAACATTTATGGTGTAAGGCTAAATTAAAAACTTGTCACGAAACGCTATACACATTGGTCAGTGAAACATATATTTTTATTTTGTTGATGTATGAATATGAATGCATACATAGGTTGGCTAGCAACATGTAGATATATACCGTTTATGCGATTATTTGTGAGAAATATCTCGTATGTATGGCACAGTGAAAGTACTGGTAGTATATTTTTTTGATACTTTTGAATAGTTTTATTTCATTCGTTCATTCAGTAAAGTATTTTCAATTTTTAACTTTTAAGTTTATAATTTTTTATATTCCTTTTTGACGTCAACGTTTAAAAAATATACATTACTGCGGTACAACCGTGAAAGACAATACAATACCATTGTTCCATATTAACTACTTAATATTACAATAATTGTTATTACAATAATGTATTATAACTTTCTAATGAGAATCTCTACTGATATTAACAGCATTGTCGCAAAGACTAAATAAAAAAAACTGTCACAAGGTCTACAAAAACAAATAAACTTTTTATCATAATTATTTCTATGTGCAATACCAATTGACTTGTATCTTTTTATTTATGGACTAATGTTAATCTTTTTACATAAAAGTCCTTTTTATTATCTTTACACATTTCGTCTGGTTAGTACTTTCTCTGCGCCGTACTCTGTAGGCCTGGCTAATGGCATGTGACAGCGGCGGTGATGGATCGGACTTCCCCTTCTTGCTTCTACCCCGCAGCCACCCCCAGCCACCCCCAGCAGCCGACAGGAATTAGTGATATTTCCCTTAAAAATAACACAAGCTTAAATAAAAGCCTGTATTAAGATGGTCCAAGCTTAGACTATGATACACCTAAAAGGGCATTTCAGTTGGCACGTCGGACAGAGACTCTAGTTCCGTGCCAGCTATCTTTTCTAATATAATTTAGTGCGCTTAGTAGTAAAGTCAAGGCATATGGCTCAAGAAAAAGAGGATTGGAAATCTTCGTCAAGAACGAACAGAGTTTTTAAGTATGACAAGAACTAGCAACGCGTCCATCTACGTTAGTTGGCTGTCTAATATTTAAATTATATCATACTTCATACTAATATTATAAATGCGAAAGTTTAGATGGATGTATGGATATTTGTTAGAGTTTGTAGTCTAAACGACTGAACAGATTTCGATGAAATTTGGTATAGATGTAGAGGATAATATGGAAGAACACATAGGTTACTCACTTTTATTTTTTAATTCCATGCGGACGGAGTCGCGGGCGAAAGCCAGTTTATAGATAAATTTTAATGTCACAGAATCACCTAGACATCAATTAGATCCAGTAGTATTTTCGGTCTAGACTTGAAGGTGGACCAGATCAGGCAATGACTGTAACAATTAAAAATTAATGTAAGTAATTGAAAGTGCTTAGAAGTGTTTTATAGACAATAAATCATGAAGTAATTACTTCAGCGCACCTAGCGACACCTCACGGCTAAACCTGTCGTTAACCTTTCGGAAGCTATTACTAATTGTTTATTAAAAAACTTTCCCGGCTTAAAACATAAAAGTTTAACTATCTGACTCGACCATAAATATAGAAATTGACTTACATACATAAATGAAACTAAATAGATAAGGAAAATGTATACAAAATCATGCACAGAGAATTTAAAATAGTATCCATTATGATCTGAACTTGTAACGTTACCTATTGAAGTCTAATTTGAAAACATATTTAGTTTTGTAAACAGATGTGTTATAACTTAATTTAATTATATCTAGTTATTACAATACTTTTGTAATGCTTTAACTTTTTTAAAAAAATACAGTAACCCAAAGACTACATTACAAATGCGAAAGTTTGGATAGATGGATGTTTGTAGCCTAAACGATATAGCCTAACGTAGATTTTTTTGTTTGTTAAGCGCTTGACCACAATTTTACCTGAAGAAAGTTATGAAGCAATCGAAGGATGGTACGAGATAGGATATAGGGATATAGGGAGCAATGATACGACCGCTAGCTTAGTGCAGACTGATTTATTGACATTCGTGTCACACTGACAGCTGGCGCAGCAGCCGTTCTTTAACGCGCACAGATTATGCGCCTATGTACATATACAACACTTAATATAGCTATTTAGTCTTCTAATTAGAATAAAATCTAGAATGTAATCTGGGAGAACATAGGCTATTTACTACGTTTTTTAAATCCGCGCTAGGAGTCGGTGGCAAAAGCTAGTTCTATTAGAATACAAAAGACCTTGTTAAGTTAACCTATCGGATTTAAATAAATAAGAGTGTGTAACTAATTTTGAAGGTTAGTTTTGTCCGCGTTAATTGTTATTTATTAACAAGACACCGTGAAACGCAACTTCCTATTGTGTATTACACAATATCTAAGTCCTAACGGCTTAGGATCCGACTCTAAACCGGAATATAGCAGAGGTCCGATCTGTCTGAACTGACCAATATAAGGTACATTCGGGAAAATCTGCTTTGAAATGACAACGCGACACAAAAATCAGTATAACGCAGCTCTTGTTTTTTCTGTACGAAAAAAAGTTGATGAGTAATATACGGCTAATTTATTTTTATATTTATTCCATTGATTGTACCACTCACTGCTTATTTGTAAGAAGAGATAAAGTTCGTATCCTTGTAATGAATGAGGCATTTTTTCCTGAAGTGGAACATCGCAGATTTCTTCGACTGTACACATAATTAATTTAGGCATTACCTTTACTGCAGTACTATTTCTAATAAATTAATGGACATCTTAAAAGTAGCAACACAAATATTGATTTATCATTGTAGATGATAAATTTTCTAAGATGTTAAGTCAAAGAATTATTCAATCCCTTAATTTGTCAAAGTCTACGTTTAAAAATGTATATTTCCCGCAATAGCCCTGCCTTTAAATCAATTTGGCATACACGCCATACTCGTATGTGTTCAAGGATAGTAAATTGTTTGACCAGTGTTACCTTGCGTAGTTCGATGGAGCATGATATTTTAATCGATTCGATACAATTACATGTAATTGGAAATAGATAATTATACGGATTGCTTATGTTAATCGGATTTATGGATTTCTTTCAAAACATGATTACGAATTATAAGTTTAAGGGCCTGTCCCACCAAATTATATTGTCTGATAACAATCCAACGTGTAATAATGTGATATTTTCATATCGGATTTTGTTACCTCTGACAGTGACGACATTTTTAAGCTATCTGAGCCTCAAGTGTGGTGGGACGAGCTCTTATTGTTATTGATTGATTGTAATTTAACTTGAATTTCCGTATTTGAGGAAGTATTATTTTCACTGTTATCAAGGTTCTTTATTACGGTAGGTTTCCACGATTAAAAAAATATTTTACAGTTACCTAGTGATTCTTTAGTGTCAGGTTGACATATGCTTCAACGGAGTAAAACTCAAGTTACGTTTTTCGGAAACGCATTTCTTTAAGTTATCGAAACCCTAACAAATGGTTAAATGTACCTGGAAAATCGGCTATTAAATAGCTTTATGCGGTCAAACCTGTAACAGCAATAGATTATTAGCTTGATAGTATTTAAGTTATTGTTTGTTACAATGTACTTTTAAACAAAAGCTTTAAATAGAACAAGGTCTCGGCTTATTATCCTTGCAGATTAAATATATAATTATCGTCCATATTACATTTACCTTCAGGTGTAAGTTAATAAATGATAATTGTGTTAAGTACAATTACATAACAATCTCTTACAGATTGATAAACAAATTAAGTACTTATTGTAGTGGTATTAAGTTCAAAATGCTGACATAAGTAATGCTTAAAATAAGTTAATTATTTAGAATACAAAAATAGATTAAAGATATGGTCATTTGTTACTAAGTTACTATATTCAAAAGTACAACAGACTTTTACGCATGTAATTATTTTATTAAGTTAAGTTTTAGTATAAAAAAGGACATTTTAAGGTCATAAAGGCAAAAGACCTGACTGATTTTATAATAACACAAATAAAAGTATTTACCATATTAGTAAAAAAACAAGAAACTTCTCTGACTTTGAAGGTCAAAGTTGCAGTTATTTTAATCACTATTCGAACTTAGAACCCGCTGCAGTAGCTATTTTACTATCGGATACTATAGCCACTGTGCTATCGAGGTTTGTTGAAGAATTTTATAATAGTTTAAAATTTTAAGTGGCTTTACCTTGCAACTGTTAAACACCTAATTTGCCTCAATACCAGATTTCGACTTAAACTATTTAATTACAATACAAACCTCTCATAAAACGCGACGCACTGAACCCACGTAATGACACGCGCACCGATTTTGTAGTTAAACCGCTAATGACAACCGCGGAAATGTGCCACAGTATAAAAACATAAAAACAGCCCACTTCTTATTTGGTGTGGTGACATTAAAAAGAGAATTTAGTTGTCCAAAATGCGAATATAAGTTAGTTATTTTATTTACAAAACTACCATTTTTATACGATTATTTAGCTTATTTTCTATTTTTCAGTGATAAATAAAGTGAATACTCAAGAATGTACAAATAGAATTTTATGTCATCGCTCGATTCGCTGGTATTTTGCAATGCGTCATGGAAGTGTTTAAATATAGATTACAAGGACATTTGCAGAAACTGAAGGAAACATTCGCACCTTTTGTTAACAGACTCGTTAGCTCAGTAGGTGAGAGCGCCGATATAAATATGAATTTGACCATCGGAGGGCGGAGGTTCGAGTCCTTCACGAGTCAACGCTTTTTTTCATCGTTTTTTTTTTCTTCAACTTTTAGAGAAAATTCAGAGTTCATAAAATTTTAATCATGGCAACCATACGAAAAATTTTGCATATTTTAACACATATTCGGCATATTATTCGTAGTTTGAAAGAGCGTTCTTTTGACTAAACTGTCGCACAACTATTTAGTCTCGCTTTGATTCCTATGAGTTGGAGGTGCGTAGACTACTCGATTTTTAGTCGTGTAACTAAACAGTTGAATTGGCTTCAAAACAATCGACAATCGCGCAACAATTGTGGAATACTCATAGTGTAGTCAATGGTATGCGCCCGCATTACAATGTGTCTATACATATTGTTGTTCCTTTCAGATAAAACAAATTTTCTTCACCTGTCAAAGTAAACTTTAACAAAATGTACTCGTCATCGCAATGTTGTGTCCAATGTTACCTACACTGTGACACTAGTACTTTAAATATAACGGGTTATGGAAGCAGTTATATAATAACTAAGTTATGCGTATTTAGCATATTATAAAAACAACTTAGAAGTGCCGACGACTGTCTTCAGGGACAGGCTGGAAAAAGTTGATTTGAATAATTTAGGAACTTGCTGTGTTTGTTAAAAATCTAAGCTAGTTTTGACGTGCTCAATATATCTTACATTAGGATAGGTTAGTGCACACTTCTTGAAGACTACCGCAATTTATTTGAACTATAACTTTAAACTGTCGTGGTTTTTACAAATATGATGTTCGTAAGATACGGGTTTCTTACCACGATTGAATTGTTTTAGCTCCAGATATTTCGGCACAGTTGCATGCGCCATGTTCACGGGCTAACTGATAAGAAACTGGTAAGAAACCCGTATCTTACGAACATTAAAAACATTTTTACATTTTGTATAACGCCTTAATATTTACAAGTATTTACTTTTCTTAGCTAAAATAAAGTATCTCTTTGTATATGTAAATTGAGTCATAATTTTGTATAAATTGTAGTAATTTACATTCTGTCGAGTGCAAATAGCGTACTGTGTTTCATCACACGCATGTAACCGATCGCCGAGGAGCCAACGAAGTCAACCGTAGCAGAAGTATATTAAATGAGTATTTGTAAATGTAATTACGACTTATTGCTCGACCGTTACTGTCTTACTGTCGCTGTCTTGAATTACCATCTCCGTCTAATTTATAATTAATAAATAATTTGTATATGTGAATACAAAGGAGTAGGAATCAACTGTATACACTACGCAATGATACAATGAAATTACCGTACATAAAAACATATCTATTTATCTGTGGGAGATGTATTTCGTGAAATAAGCGATGCAAAAGCAATCATATTCTTTCAATCCACAATTAACAATCATTTAAACGCGTATTTTTATGCTAATATAATTTAAAGGGGCATTTAACATTCAATTACTCTACGATATTACAAATAAACAAGTTGTTTACAAAAAAAGTTATAAAAACTGTTTATGACTTTATGTAGTGTTGCATAACACCGTCCCAAGCATGACATGATATACATATAGATATCTAGATAATAAATTCCCAAAGATGTTATACAACCTGCGGAAACACGAGCTCGCTCACACATCGTATAGGAAACAAATTCGCGATTTATCGAATGAATTTTTTATTGCAATTTCCTTATTCGCATATGAAATATATTAACACCTGTAAAAAGTTATTTAACATTATACATAAATACAACGTAAGAATCAATGTAACAAACATAAGAAAAAATATAACAGCGTTTTGCCTATTTATTACGTTTCTTTAAAATGGGTTTCCAATGCACGTACATCTTTAGAACTGTCAAAAAATATTAAAACAGTTACTTCTTGAAACAAACGCCTATTCTAGTCTCTTCCTTCCGCGTTACTTTGTACAAAAACACTTTTTTTAAGACGTAAAGTGGATAAAGACTTCACAAAAAATATGACAATTAGGGTAATGACATCACAGATTAAGAACTTTGATAGACAGAACACTTTTCCGACATTAATACTTATTGTAAAATGTGATTCCTCCAGTTTACTGCACATAGAATCGTTAAATGCCAAGGGAGGCCCTAAGTCTATCTAAATCTTACTAAAGTAAAGTTTAAATGGGTCTTCACTTCTTAATATTTTCAGAACAATGTCTGGAAGTACACATGGACTAAGTTTTTTTTTAATCCGTGCGGATATCGCGGTAGCTAATAATAAGGAAGACAACTTCGGTGTTACAGAATGAAACTGATACGTCCTCCTACCTCCTACCATGGACCAGCAATGAACCACGACCGTTGTGTCCACCACTGGTGGCAGGTGTGTGGTGCGCACCAGTCGGCGACCAGCTATCAGCGAGCGTCGTCGCCTGTATTCTGTTCTTACTGTTCACGTTTTGTTCACGTACGCGTGTGTTGTTTGCAAAATGTTGCCGATCATTGTAAGTGAAGAATTATGATTTTTTTATTAAAAATGTAATACTGCAGATATTATGTACTTATAATTGAAATATTAATTGCTTTTTAAATAGTTATGTTTTCTAGTGGATTAATCTATACTTATGTTATGTGAGGATTTGTTTTTTAACCGACTATTTTATAAGAAAACCAAATTAAAAAAAAATCAGTTTTTAATCAAAATACTTTACAGAGTCTAATTACCAGTTAATTTGATTATGCCATCTTACTAATATTAGGTTTTTTTAGCCTGAACGGTATTGTAGCTTAAACGGCTGAACGGATCTCGATGAAATTTGGCGTATAGGTAGAGGACAGTACAGACACATACCCTACTCACATTTGTTTTTATTTAATTGCGAGCGGACCGAGTCGAGGGGAAAGCTTGTTATAATAATCCCAGTCATTACAATATCCCTAATTTCTCTCTTGGTTAATAGAGATTACGTGGACGTAATATAGTTAATAACAATAATAAAACGTACAAATCATCTTGTGGGATTAAGCATTTTTTTACGTAGCGATGATGCAAGATCTGACCATAAAGTGATGTACCACTTTCTATTCACACAAATTATATCTTGATCTTGTTTTAAAAAATGTTGCCAAATAAACTAGGTTGCAGCTTCTTTGTAAAAGTAGAGTCAAATATACAAAAAGATTACTGAAGGTCACCTCACGAATGTCACGGCTGTGGCTTGATATGACCGTGGCTGAATGCTTGATAGTTTCACTTGAACTTTGCTGTTACATAACTTTCGCACTGCATTTCCTAGTTTGTAACTCCATTCATCCAGCCAGTATCTTATTGGACTGTATTTTTAATCTGTGAATAGCGATTTATAGAGCGGTCACGGTCGCGAAAAGAAGGTTAAACTGACATCGAGTCAACTAGTATTTAAGAAGATTTACATAGTTTTTGTGTTAAAAGTAAAGAAACGTGATTTACTAATGTCTCGTGAAAATAATAAACATTGTGGAACCCGAAATACATATATGTATATACCTATCTTATTTATAGTTTAAATGCGAACGTTTAGGTAAATGGACGGATGTTTGTTAGAGTTTGTATACTCAAGTACTGAATGGATTTTGATAAAATTTGGTATAGATGCATAGTATGGAAGGATACAGAGTCTACTCCCTTTTGTTTTTTTGTTTTTGATACCACGTATACGGAGTTTCGGGCGAAAGCTTTTTAAATATAAAACCTAGTAGCTATATTAACTAGAAGCCGCTTCGCACCATTCACAAATGAAATTTAATACTTTGTATAAATATTTTAAACAGCTATAAGTAGCCGCTCCGTTACGCGCTAATAACGTAGCCGTTACAATTAACGAAGCTACAATTAACGCATTTTACGAAATGTAGTGCTAATCAATGTTGCGTTGCGTTACGCAACGCGTTTCTTGTATGTTTACGCACTGCTTCTTTTACTAAGTTTTTCGGTACGTGAGAAATCGGTATTTCGGATGTTTGGACTCTTACATAAATCTCCAAGCGATATCAATAATGTTTCATTTCCCGTCTAATTCTAGATTATTGGACCAAGGATCGAGGACAATAACCTCAATAAAATTATTAAGAAGTTTAAAGAATCTGTTTCGTCATTTATTTAAAATTTAATATGACTTCATCTCTTAAATCCCGAGTTTAATATTACTCAACTGATTAAAGTAAAGATCTTTTAATTTTTCAATTGTTTAGCTCGTAAGGAGCTTTTCTATTATAAACATTACAATAGTTAAACATTTCAATTTGTTCACAGATCCCTCTAGTCCTTTGTCTTGCAACAAGTGCGAACTCACTGCGAGATAGAATGACAATACCGAGTTACTCGGCTGCCTCCGAGTCTCAGATCAGATTCGCTATTGAGAACAACTACGACGACACAGGTCCCGGGGCGAAGGGCCCAGAGTCCGCCTACAACACATACAGCACTCTAGAAGAAGCACTCGTCAGCTACATCGATGACCCCGACACTAAACTACCTGAAAGCGAAAGAATGAAAGCAATCCTCAGACTCATCAACACACCGAAAGATTACGAAAGATACAATCCAAACCAAGCTATACGCGAACTCCCTAAAAGCGTGGCGGAGTACACTGGGTACAGGAATATCCCGACGATAGCGCCGATAGTATTGAAGAAGCAGCCCTGGCAAAACCAGGTGCTTTACCACAACCCTAGAACTAACATGGGTATATACGACTTGAGAGGAATCTCAGTGAGTAACATAAACTCCGTAAAACCAAGAGATAGGCCGCAAAACTTATACAAATTAGAAGATATCCATATCCCCGGTCAGGTGGGGCATGTGGCGCAAGTGAGCCAGGTGAAGCCTCTTCCCGTACCCAATTACTACCCCTATCTCACTAAGTTCATCCCCGCGCAGAGCCAGTACGAAAACAATCCCCAGCATTCATATAGCTATGGACATAGGGTGAGTTTCCATTATAATAAATTATTTTAACCAAACAACTAATATTGTAAAAAAAACTGCTAACTATGTTGTTAAGGTATTTGGAACATAATGACCAGCTACCATGTAGAATGATAAGATAATCTTTTTAATCATAATATCATATTTAATTAAATTTAATACTAACCATGTTCCATTATCGTTAACATTTAGATTTTGATATTAACTTTGACTCATCAATTTACAATTACTATCGACATTAACTTGAACTTTATTGATAATCTTAATCCATAAGTGTTGCGTCAATCTGTTTTTAAGTTAGCATTACTCATGTAGATTTGTCTCACCGTGACACAAAACTCTCTCTTTGCTCTGATTTACTTTCGCTTTTATGTCATCTTTCAATGACTTACCAACAGCTTTTATACTGCTTCGTTTTATATATTTTTGTACAGTTACTTTAACAACAATTACTTTAAAATAAACAAGTTTTTAAATTTTGAAAATAAAACGCCAACACCTTTTTGTTTGTAAGCAAAATGCCTCGTTGTTACCACAAACAAACAGGAGATTTTTTATTTTTTTTAGTAGTAACTGTAAAATAATTTAAACTCATTGAACTCAAACTTTCCATTGACCTATATTAATAAACCAAGACAAAACACTATCATGTTTTAATAACAATTTAAATGTATTACGTAGAGACGTATTTCTTTGAACTCTATTACAAGTTCCCGCGTAACAATAGATCGTTGTTGAAGAGAGAACACAAGAACAATGGAAAGCAGTGCGGTCGACAATGACTGCAGCCTCCGCTAATAGAGAAATTATAGCCGTTAACAATAACATAACTACTAAACATATTCAATATACAATAAGCAATGGTGCATCAGTGACTAGAACATAAGCCAATTGTAGTGCAAATTTTACAACATATATGGATCATATGAACTGCGATCAAAATCAGCCTAAAACTGAGACAGTCTTCGTACTTCAGAACATTTTTTGCGTTTATAGTTATGTTCTACTTTAGCTCGGTAATAAAAGACTGATTTTATAACTTAAATAACAATGATTGATGACGAATTGATCACATACGACTTAATTTTGTTTCAAATCGTGTGATGTTCGAGGTCAGAGCAACCATCATTCAAAGTTTGTGCTCGAGGCGTGCCTTAGCTGGGGCTGAGGTGCTGGAATTTATAAAGGTCACTTGAATCTCATACATTGTTTTATTAAAACAAAAGATGTAATCTATATTAGTAACTCTCAATAGGTGATACGTAGGTGATATGTAAAGTACGAAATTCATCTTTACGTTGTTAACAAAGTTGGTTTTTGAATTTTTAAAAAATTGTATTTCTGTTATGTGTCTTTATGTGACCTTGAATATGAACAAGGTGGTAAATATCAAATAGGCAATATCACTGCCTTGCGCATGTACTCGTAGTATTAACGACTCTCTTTTTTGTGAAAAATTCTAGCCGCTAGTACAGTCCGGCAATAAAGCGTTACTAAAATTTATAAAAGAGTTACCTATTTGAACTTTTTAATTTTTTTTTATATTCCGATGAAACACTGAATTTTATATAATTTTGTAGTAAAATTCATATTACTAAGTGGCATAGTTTTTTATTCTTTTTATTATTTCTGCAGAGGTCATCTTTGAATTAATATATTTAAATAAAGTGCGTATTGTTGCCACATTTTGACTCACGCTTACGGGTAACTTTTTGTTTTTGCAAAAATACCGTGACGTAATTCAAATTTTTCGTTTATTGGTGTCAAGGCAACGTAACTTCCTTCCATTGAATTTAAAAACGTAGTCACAAAAATTGTTTTTTTATGAACATGCAAATAAAGTCATATTTTGAAATTGAAAATTATGTGACCTCTTTTATGGCACTTTTTTATAATTTAGATATGATTTTTGTGCACATCTGTACCCGCATACTAAGTACACATTTTGCAGAGTACGGGCACATTTTATTGTCATACCAGAGATTAGAGCGGTACTAAATACGCGACCCTGGCGGACGTGAATTTTGTGCTCGCGCGTGAAAGGTTCCGGGTTCAATACTGTAACGTGTTAACATATTTTTTTGCGTATAAGGATATGTAATTGAACTATAATTAAATAGTTACTTTTGCATATCGTTTTAATACACAGAACTTAACATTTAAGATAAACGTAACTTTTTATATTTAAAAATAAATGTCGAATCCAAAAGACAATTTAAAAACACTAAAATAACTTTTGCATACTTTTTTCAATTTCTAAGAGATAATTATGAATAGGAATACAAAACACTTTAATTTTACCGTCTAATACAAAATTACAGATTAAATTAACCTGCCATAAACATCATGACAATGTTTTTTGAAAAGTTCTAAGTTATATGTATTAAATATACAAAAAATGTCAGTTGCATTTCATGCTCTATGACAGGGAAAATAAGACATATAATCGAACTTTAAGCAGTCTGTTACTTAAACATTTAACTAAAGTCCACTGTTTAACTTGTCATATTAAAAAGAAGAATTGAACAAGATAGAAAGAGATTATCATATTAAATTCTCACGATCTTGACATACAAACACACTTCCTCTATATCCATACATTTGCGTATTATGTCGTAACTCCAGCCTATTTTCATGGCCCTTCTTACCGTGGGCTTCTACAGGACACTATCGTATATTTGTCGCAGCTTTCTCAATACGAATGAAAGAGATATCAATAAGATACAATGTCAAGCAATGACATCACACACAGAGGTGTTCAAGACTGACCAAACGATATCAGTTAAACGAGCAGTGGCCAAGTTTATCAGACCGTGTCCGCAGCCGAAACTGTTTTCTAACAATTATACAAGCTGTTGCAACTCATGGTGTGGTATTGTTGATAGTATTTTTTTAATTAATTAACACCATGTATAATTATGTAAGCTTAATTGTGCTCTAATTATGTTCTGCTTTTGGCAATTTGATTTGTCAAAGAAAAGTAATAAGGACGCGCACACCTTTGACTAAACTATCGGACAACTGTTTAGTCTCGCTTTGATTCCTATGAGCTTCTATGCGGACACTTCTCGATTTTTAGTTGTGCAACTAAACAGTTGAATGGGCTGCGAAACAATCGACAATCGCACAACTGTCGTGCGATAATGTAAAGATGTGCGCGCGCTCTTACAGTGATATTTTGCAAGGCGTTGGCACGTGGAGAAAGTTATTATAATATTTTAATACCCTGAGGACAGGCTGAGGACCGCAGTGAAAGTTTGCTCACGTCAAGTAGCCCTGTAGATGTTGCGTAGTGTTATGTTATTTGCAAATATTGATAACAAGAGATTATCCCCACAAATAACATACGTTACATGTCTTTACTGTCACATCCATACTCTTCCCGTTAATAAAATATAGTCTCTGTTACTCAGTGATAACGTAGCTTTTATGGCGATAGAATTTTGAAATCAGTTCAGTAGTTTATGTGCTTATTCAATGCAAAAAGTCAAATATTTCCTCTTTGTAATATAAGAAAGGACGCATATTTGTGACTTAACATTGTTGTGCGATTTTCGATTGTTTCGATGCCAACTGATTAGTTGCACAACTAAAAACGGAGTAATGTGCGCACCTCCATATAAGATCTTGGGAATCAAAACCAGACTAAATAGTTGTGCGAGAGTTTAGTCAAAGCGCTCCAAGTATAGGAAGCGTAGGCCAAGATGATAAAGTTTGTCCAAATGGCAATTACGTATGGAAAAAAAAAATTTAAACTAAAACCGTATTAACGTATTTCGTGTTATGATTGCCCAATATAATCGTTTTAATGTCCATTAATTAATTATATATGTACACTTTAATTGTAGAAGGCCTAATTTATGGTAAACATCTTAATTAGAGCGCGAAGAACATTCTCACAAAACGCTCATGAGAGCCTTCACTTGCACCATCGAAACAAATTCACGGCCGGGAGTACGCAACGCAAGGTGTGGTTCATTGCTCAATTACAATTACAAACGCACATTGAACCTCTAAATAATTATATATGCTAGTAGTTGAACATTTTTTAATAAACTTATAATTTATACGCTAAGAATTTTTATTGTAGTTAGAAATATTTTACGTATATTGCTTTAAAGAAGGGACATTTTCGTTTGCTGTATTCATGGATTGTTGAAACTTTTTACATTTATTTATAAGAAATTCAAATAGACTCTGTTTTTCTCATCTGCATTTTAAATCGAAATTGTTAAATAATGTTCATAAATAGAAAAGAGTTCGTCGGTTCCTAATTACATTTCCTAACTTGATATTCTTATCTCCATTCTTTTAAATTTATTGTTACACTAATTAGTCCAAAAAACATAAACAATTCAAAACATTTCGGTCAATTTATTCATTCATTGTCGATGTAACGCCAGTTACGTGAGTCGCCCAATTTCACCTACAACGTGCGCGTGCGCAGAGTATTAAAAGATTCAAAATTAATACCGGCTTGTGGTTGCAAGTTCATGTCTTTTCAAGTTGGTAACCACTTCAAGTGGAAAACAAATGAGCTTCATCAGTATCCTTCGTGGTATATAAAATTTTGTCTTGCGTAGTATTTTCTGAAGTACCGAGCCGCCATAAAATTTGAATGGTGTTATACACGCCGGCCTTGTTTGTGAACTTGTCACGTATTTACACTGTTACCCAATATGCGTAGGCTTTGTTATGCCGCATATGATTGTATGATAAAATACACAGATATCTTCTTATTTATTCTGTATTCATACACTAGCTGTTGCTTGCGACTTCGCTCGCCTGGAATTAGAAAAGATAGAAAAATATATCCTATGTTACTCACATATAAATTACCATTCTAATGGTGAAAGAATTTTTAAAATCGGCTCAGTAGTTTTTGAGTTATTACAATACATACAAAATTACAAATTTGTCGTCTTCACAATATTAGTCTAGATAGATTTATGTGTGGATGTGTGATATATTTTGCTCAAATTACTCCAATAAAAAAGTATATAACTGTCGATCCCGCAATTACTGTCTAGGCCCGTGCTAAATTCGTCTGCATTAGCTTTGTTAAAAAATTAAAAGAAATTTATTTAATAAGATTACTGTACAACTTAATGTTTTGTTTTCAGAATGCATGGCCACCTCGCGACGAGCATGATCATCACGATTCCCATTTAGAAGCGTCCATGCGAGGATACTATACATTCACGGGCGCCGACGGCAAGCAGCGCACTGTGCACTACACTGATCGTAATCGCGCACACTGATCTGTAAAAATGGATAGGCGAATGTTTGGAAATAACAGCTCTTGCATAGTTCCAAATTAAACGCGCCTTTTGATGTTAATCTAATACTATTAATTGTTCGAAAACTCTTTACAGCGACGAACCGCAACCATAACATAGAGAAATTTTTAGAGATCAGTCAACCTTGTCAAATCTAGCAACGCCATCTAGTGACAACAATTGCAATAACCAAAAAAGCAACCAAAATAATTATTACCAATTTCTTCTGAAATATATTAAAAATTCAAAGTAATAAAATGCAATCAACATTGTCGTTAATCGTATCAGAATAGCTTAATGATTTAGTACGGTAGTAAATGTTTTTTAAAAATGTAATGAGAGTACATAAGAGACAATTTGTAAATAAATTGAAAATTTTGTTTTTAATAATTTTTGATATCAATTCGGTCACCGTTTTCATTTAATATAATCTTGCCATACTTGTTAATTTATTTAAAAACATATTGTAGGTGTTTTCTTTTGTTTGAATAAAGCCTATTATTGATTATGTGTTTTAAATGTAGTTAATTCTAATGTAATTCATTGTAAGAGATTTTTTTAAACTGCTATTGCTATTGTATTTTTCGCGCCTTTCAAAAATTTGCCGCAAAAAGTGTTTCAGACATTTTTTTACTATATTGAGATTAAATTAAATTAATAACTTTATTGTGAATATGGTATATATTTTGGAAATTTCTTAACGCACATTTCCCGGAATCGGCCGCAATCTTCGCAAATATTTTTGACATATAATTTATAAGAGCAACGATTTGTTTTTGTATTTTTGTACTTTGTATAATTTTTTAATATTCTTGTATTTACGTCATTTTGTATGGAAAATAAAAAGATGGAAATACATAATACTATTGTTTTCTTATTTGCTAAAATGGTTAGGAAAAGGAATTAATTTTAACTGTATCTGGCGACAAATTAGCGAATGTTTTAATAACTTTAGGAATTCTCAAATTTGTTTTTATAATTGAGGTTATGATAATAAAACAGTTTTGTATAGAAGCGAAGAGAGTAATTAGGGGAAATCTAGATCCTGTCATAAGATTTACAGTAAAATAAGTAACCCTTTACATACCCTATTTAACAATATAACCTGTTACAGACTTAATGTGGGGCTTACGGTGCAAGTCGAGGATCCAGCAGTTAAAAAAATAGTAACGCCTATCTAAAAGTGATTTGCAATTTCGGAATATCAAAAAATTAAATTATTTGGTTTACATTCTATTGATGGGAATCTCTTAACAAATTAGTTTATTCAACCATACTGGATTATACGTTTTTTCAACGCACACGCATTTCATGCAGAGCTTATACTCTTCGTCAACGCCATCTATTGAGCATGTTTGTTATGCTCAATAGATGGCGTTGTCCACCAAGAATGATTTAAAAATTGAAAACGTAGTATCTTTTATTCCTGGAATCCACTGCTTTTATTTTGATACGAACATTTTTTTAATAGATGTCGAAGGTTATTTATATAAATGTAAATACTATATGATACAATTATAAAAATCATAGCCAACAAATCGGTATGTATCAGTTATAAGCGTTAAGCCGGTTATTGTTATCACCAATATCTGCTGTCAAACTTATCATAATTTATTATTAATTAATCAATTTATCAAAATATATTATCTGTATGACGCTATTTTTGGGGATGTTACATACTTAGTATAAATAACTAGGTATATAGACATTTGAAGAGAATTAAATATGAATTTTTAGTCGTAAAAAATGTAAACTATCATAAAATTTATTTCTTTATATAATACCTATAGTACACCTCAATGTTAGTTTAGAGCATTAACCAAAAAAATCTATCCCAAATATGCAAAATATCAATGAGTTAAACGTAAACAAACAAACATCAGTACAATGCAATTTGACAATACAAACAAACCTCTTGTAGTGTCAAGTTCTGCGAAGCCAAACGGACGTTACGATTGTATTATATTGTTAAAATAAAGGCGGTGTCCTGTCGCGCTGTCACAACACGACACGACAGCAAGCCAACCTGTCGCGCGCTCCGCTGGACCACGCAGCGCTGTTCAAACTGTTAACAAATTAAAAGCATACCCGATAATCATTATTTTAACATACAGTCATAGAAGTAAATCCGATTTGCACGTATAGAAAGTGGTCAACGCAATCTGTAACCAAAAACTATATAAGGAGTTATAGTCAAATGAAAGTTTACTGAAATGGGTAGGAAATAAGCGTCCATAAATAAACTAATTTCAACTCTATTACCATGAATTAAGATTCATTATCGTTTCCCGCGCAATTGACTTATTTTTTTCTGTGCCATTCTTAGTGGACAGTGGAAAATAACTTTTATGCGCGGTATACACATTTGAATAGTTGCGACTGTCAGATATAGATGGTATGGGACCAGTTAGCATTCATACTGTACCAGTTTTTTGCTATTCCATTCCAGTCTACTGACTAAATTTACTGGTCGAGTGTGTACCGGGTATTAGGGTACCAAAGAAGTATACGTCAAACTTAATAAAAAATAAATCCAAATATTTTAACAACCATGGTCATTGGTTGAAGATATAAAAGCAAAATTATAATCAGAAAAGTTTGGGGATCTATGGAAATTGAACTCATTGGTTCGGAACGGCTCGCGGTGTTTTTGTGCGGCGATGCGGCGCGCAGGCGCACATTTCTAATCTAAACGACATATTACCTGAAATATATGCTAAGTTTTTAGTCCAATTTCAGGTTGAAGGTCGTTCATAACATCCTCTATTGTACTCATTTGTCTCTGACTTTGAAGTCAGGACATATTGCCGTATGAGGCTGTGGTATAAAAATGAAAAAAAAAAACAAATAGACGCTAGCATCGTCGATCTATTTACTGCGGAAACAGTCAACTGTTTCTGGTCTTTTTTTTAATTTGTTACCACAACCTCATACGGCAATATGTCCCGCTGACATAAACAGTGGGATGACTGGCTGTAGGGGCGCGCAAAATCCCGGGAACCATTCGCTAAGCCGAGACCTCCGACAGTGAGCGCGTGGCCAATACAATGACAAGCCTACATACTTGTACCAATTTTACAAGACATACTATAACTAGCAATGATGTACAATCAACTCTATTACAACTGTTTAAGGTTGAATATCCAGAGTTGTTGTAAATAATATGCATTATTAAGTTTGTATGTTACCAGGTTATGTCTGATAGGTGTATTCCCTTAGGAGTAGAAGCTTCCCCGAGGGAGCGCCGCATTCCGATGTCTCCGACTCTTATCTAGCGTTGAGATATTTGCACTCAGACATAAATCGAAGATACTTTTTATAGAGTACCATAACTTGTTTTGTTGGTTTAAATAGGTTAAAAAAAAATTTTTTTTTTCAAACCCTGGCTACACTAAAGTAACAGTGAATCATTAAATAAAGTATCTTATAAACACAAGTCCTTCTATAATTAACGGATTTATCGAACGTTTCGATAGTTTAAAAATAAAACTAGTTGACCAAAATCGGTCGTGGTACACTTCATGACAAATAATTGAGAAGGGTGATGACAGAATGATTGCAAAAGAAACCTTCAAATATTAAATAAGATAACCTGACATTAGAAATTAAACCGACAAAAAACAAAGCGAAGTGATATACGGTTCACCTTGGTTACAAACCGCGGACAGTTATTAACCACATCGCATTTGGAATTGAACCTGGACTGGGACCTCACCAGCCACAGTGTCAGCACGACCACCTCACAGACAAGTCTGTCAAAAACCTCACAACAATAAGATCAAGTTACACTTACAAGTTAAATGGACGTTAAAATTAAAAAGATACTCATATTTTTAATCAGGTTCCGTACAATTTATAACCTCATATTTAAGTCTTTGGTAATTACTTTCTTTTATTTCGCACTAAATTAATTAATGATTTAACCTTGCTATTCTAAGTTTACAGGTAGCCCTAACGACAGCTGTTCTAAACGCTCTGCACACTCTTCTTTGTGCCTTTTCAATGCTTAAGGACTGAAGACAACAATTTGATTACCATAATCTCTACACACTAGTGGTCCGTCATTACCTTTAATTTACAAGAATCTTGCGGAACCCCAATGAAATCATCTAAGGTGAGAGTTGCGCGCTGCGCCGGCGCCTACGTCACCCGTCTCTGTTCTAATCTATTCCGACATCCAGAGACGTCCCGACAACCGCCACGTCTTGTACAAAACTGTGGATGACCGCAACAAAACATCAACACTATATTCTAATAATTCAATGTGAATTGAAAACGAATCGACACGAATACAACCCCACTCCTTCATGTCCCTTCTCGCTTGATTAAAATTATTGCACAAGTATAATTGACGGATATAATATTACTTTGTGTTATAACAGCTTAGTCCTTTTACTTCTCTTGTAATGTTTCTTCAGTGCTGAAAGTTGACCGCAACTTGGACATGTGTCCCGGTAAATTATAAGAAATAGCCCTTCTTCGGACTTATCCAGGTCCAAGCTAAGTAATTTTTACGTTTTTCTATGTGTAAATTACTTATGTATGTATATACCTATCAGATTTGTTCGCAATACCCTGTGAATAATTCCACGGTCATGTTCCAAATCAACGGGCAAAGTATCAGTATCAACTAAAAACCAAAAGCTCACTCCGATCTTGATAAAAACACTGACATTGCGTGATTTTTTTGTCCCCCGGTCGCGTCCCCCGCTCCCTGAATGTCCCCCGCGTCTCCCCCGCTGCCCGCACCTCCCCCGCGCCTCCGCTCGTCTTATTTGTTTATCTCGGCACCTTGTCAACTGACTCCATCACTACATAATTAGAGAGACAAGGGAATTTTTTTCGTATTAATTGACCAGTCTGAAGAGATCACTTCAGTTCAAATTCAAACTCTATAGCTTAGGTATACGTTTTAGATTCGCATGCTTTGGAAAGTGCAGTGGCTTTTGACAGGCATCATTTGAGGGCCTTTTTGTGTTTTGAAATATTATTTTTCGGTGACACTGCCATTTTATAATGTTGCTTCGGATATGGTATTTTTTTATTTTTGTCTGGACGAAAACTGTCCGTTAATGCAGGAACATTGTGATTACGGTGACATCTCAGATTATGTTTTTTAATATTTTACGCATATGACATTATCTAACATTATTTAACAACATATAAAATGTAAAAGTCATACTATTTGCTAATTGGAATTTCCATTTATTAAATAACCGGAAACGATTTAGATTATCTACTTAACTAAGATGTTACAATCATTGCTGTTATCAGATACCTACTTTTGTATCATTTCAGATATAACACATAATATATAGGCAGTTTAATTGGAAATTTACTATCAAAGTCTTCGTATTGCATAATAAAAATGAAGTGTTTATTTGGCTAAATGGAACTGCAATTATAAAACTAATCGAAACATTTGTCAAACAGTTATAATGAATATTATATACTAGCAGTAGCCTGCGACTCAACTCAATCAAATAAAAACCAAAGCAAGTAGCCTATCT